TCGAGTTCTACGACCGCCACCCAGTGGCATATCTCGATGAATCTCAAAGTGCCTTCAAGCGTGTACACCGCATCATGTGTTCGCTGAGGGGTTGCCACCATGGATGTATCGTCGTTCGTGGCGAGCCACTTCTGTCGGCAAAATTTGAATTGCACCTTCTCTCAAACACGTCATAGAACCTCTCTATATTTATATATTATTATTACAGAGGTTTGGATTGGTTCTGAAATCACCCTCCAGATTGATTGAACCAATCGAGCATGGAAAATTCGACTAGAACTCACAATACTGTTCCATATATATTATCGAACATGCAAAGTACAAGTGGTTTACTGTTGAATCGAGGAGTACAGTACTACACTACTATTAATACTACAATCTCACCAACCGCGCTTCATTTCTCGGGGTTCTTCACCGTGAACTCGAAGTGCCCGTGGCGCGTGTTCCTTCTGCCAAAGGCATCATGTTGTGGCCGTGAAATTTTGTCTTTGTAAGAACTTCAGCCAATGATATCATTGTATTTTACAGATTAGCCAATCATACTCAAGTATAATGTCGGTAGTTATTTAATAAATATATACAAAACAAAAATATAATAGAAATAATATAATAATTTATGAAAAATGTACTTAAAAATAAAAAAGTCAACATGGAACAAATGCATTTTGCATAACATGGAACAGAGGAAGTACTACGTATTAATAGTACTAGTAGTTGATTAATAGTTCTTGAACAAACTCGAAAATCGAACACTAATGAACCGAATGGAGCCAGCAAGTCTGTTGTTAAACTAACAGGTGATTTGCAGTGCTACATTACCCAATAGAACTCAAGAATTGATATGATTATAGAACTCAAGAATTGATATGATTAGATAAAAATAAAAGCCTGCAACAACTAACACCTTCAAAACTTAATGTGGGGACGATGCGATAAAGCTCAAAAAGGAGAGATAACTTGAACTTCGCCAGATATGGTCGCTTGAATGGAGCTCAAAATCTGCAAATCACAGATCCGTCAAGTAGGTTAAGTTATATTATTTATTATACGTGCACTGGTGAGACTTAAATAGCACGATATATTAACCCACACATCTATCGATACGCTCCGCCGCGGCCGCCCCTACCTCCGTAATAATTGGGCTTCGGACCTCCTTTAAAGGGGGGTCCTCCACCGCGGGGGGCGTACTTGGTCCCAGCCGCCCGCCGAGCCTCATCGTCGTGAATGAACGTACACGCGTCGCCCTTGCCACATCCGGCCGGGGAATTGAAGTACGTGCACGGCACTTGCTTGTATTTGTAGGTACTGGAGGGGGGACCCCCCCCTCCGTGGGGTGGGGGGCCACGACTCCCAAACGCCGGGCGCTTGGACGGGTACGGCATGTCGTCGTGTTGGGGGCGCTTGTTATAGTTGTTGCGAGGGTGGTCGTCCGGATACAGACGGTTGTGATCATCCGGATACCGATTGTCGTCGGGGTAGCGGTGGTCGTCGTCGGGGTATCGGTGGCGGTTGTCGTCATCGGGGTATCCGCCCTTGAATCCCCCGTAGCCACCGCCGTCCACGTTGTAGCCACCATCTCGGCCTCCTCGTTCTGGATACCCCCCTCCGTACCCCGGTTGATTGTTGTAGCCATTGTTGAACGATTGTTGGGGGGGGGGGCCGTAATTGGAAGGGGGTTGATGATACGGCGCACCGGCCTTGTACCCGCCCCTGCCCATGTGGTCTTCATAGTCGCCGTACCCGCTCGGTCCGTCGCGTCCGTTTCCCCTGTACCCCCCCACAGGGTTGGACAAGAGCGGCGGAGGCGGCTGTACGTCGGAGGGAGCCGACAGCAGCGGCGGCGGTCGCGAGCTTCCATGTGGTAGCTGTCGATCGTGCTGGTTGAAAATGTCCAGCACACGTGCGTCTGCGATACGGCGGCCGTTGCGCTGCGCTTCGGCGTACACTTGGGCCACGACTTGGTCGTTTGCATTGGCCAGTAGCGCCAGCGTCGCCTTCTCCAGTGGCCCCAACGCCTGCACAAGCGCCGATTCCGTCGCATTCAAATTGGACACCCCTACTGCCACGGGCGGCGGCACCTCGTCGTCTTCGAGAGGCTATACAACAACCAACAGAATGAAAACCCAACCTTGAAAGAGAGAGTGATGGCATACGTCTGTGAGAGGGATCGACGTGGTTGGCCCCAGCGACAAGTCGGCGGCCGACGGCGTCCACTCCTCTGGGTTTTCTGGCGGCACTTCGTCGCCCAAGACAATCCATTCCACGTCTTTTCGGGTGCGGTTCGTCTATATCACGCACATGAGAGGCATGCATCATGTCAACAATCATACACAAGTCGTCGTACCTGGACGAGCATTTCGGGCGTGTCCTCCGACGATCGAATGGTCACCCCTTCCGGGATGGCCACGGCTGGCGGCGGCGTGCGCCACGGCACCGTGACCACCGGCTGTGTACGCGACGTCGCTTCTTCCTTTTGCTTGCTACAACCACCACATATATTAGAACACAAGATTGAGCTCTCCAATGGGGAGACAATACTAGTCACACGACGTACTTGAGGAATGCAAACTTTTCGTGGGCATGTTCGCGCAGCTTGGCATCTTTGAAACTCCCCGCCGCCACCGGACTCGACGGGTCGTCCTTGTCGCTGTGGAGCACCAGATCGCGCCACGACTCGATGAGCTTGATCTTGGTCAGGGCGGCGCCGTGCTCGTCGGCCCACTTGATGCGGCGGGTGCTGGCGGCGCCGCCGCCGCCGGCGGCCGTCGGCTGACTTTGCACTTGGTCGAAGCGCGCGATGGTCGGCAATGCGACCGTCGGCGACGACACCACGTCCATGACCTCTTTCTTGTTGAGCAGTTGGTTTTGCACCATGTTGGTCACGAACGAGTCCTTGGGCTTTGAAATCAATCTGTTTGCTTCTTGTTTTTTCAATAGCAGCTTGCCGAGGACGTCCGTCGCGGGCTTGGCCTTGCCCTTGGACGAAGGCGGACTCGGGGGTTTCTCTGTGAATGTGGTCTTCCAGTGCTTGAGCAGGTCCTGCGCCGCGCGCTTGACATGGTCGTTCGCGGCAGTCTTGCGCAGTTGCACGATCGGTTCGTTGATCTTGGCGTCCGTGATGGTGCTCAGCTGGAGCGGCAATGCCTTGAGTGTCACGAGAATGAGATGCAACAGTGACGTTTGATGATACGACACGGCCGTGTCGAGCCATTGCCGCGCAATCTTCATGCCGCCAAACGCTTCGAAGAGGGCCACGCTACTGCTTCGGGCAGGGTCTCGGGCGGTGGCCGCGAGGACGACCAACAGCTTGGCTTGGTCCGACTCCTAACACATGGTCGTGAGACGGACGACGAACGAGAACACAGATGATGTACCGTCTTGGCCTGATGGAACAGCGGCAGGAAGCGTTCGGTGGCTTCGTCGTCGCGCAAGACGTTCGAACCTCCGACGCAACATGCAAACAAGGTGTCTTCCAACACATTCGTGGGGCGGGACGTAGATCTGTCGTCGTCTCGCTTGCGTTTGTTCGTGATCTGATCATACACGACGTTAATTATGCATGTCGTCGGGAATCGGTGTTCCCACTTTGTACGTGGTGAGGGTGCTGCGGATGGTTGCATCCAGGATGCACGCTCATCAGGATGGAAGCTGCCTACCTTGCCGGTAATGGGATGCACCCCTGTGAGGGTCTCATGCTCCTGCACCCGCCCGTCAAACGTTTGAAGCATTTGTGCGTATCCACGATGTTGGAGTTGCAACAGGTTGGAAAAGTTCGGGGTCATCTTTGAATCCAATGCCATCATGAGCTCCTCTGCCGCTGTTATTCAAGCGAGCAGCGTTACGGGTCTTCGGGTGATGGCAACGAGGGTGTTTAATGCAATAACTTTCTTTCGAAAGGTCCAGCAATTTGACGTCGACGGGGACAGCACACACAACCAATTAAGAGTGTCTATGTATATGTGCCTAGGGAGCCGAGCAACACGGAAGTTTGCAGCACAGGAAAATGGACGAGCTGACGCGGAGCGAAGTGGCAAGAGATATGCACTCGGCCCAGCGAATCCAAGAATGACGAAGAATGCGTGGGTGGTTGAGAGGAATGCTGTATGATTGGCTGAATATTTATGATTCGACCAATCAAATGGGTATAGAAGAAACGAATCCAATGAAACCGTGCCACATCAACCTGTGGTAGAAATTTAATGTTCAATAGTAAATGCAAGTGATGATCTCCTATTTATTTAAATTGGTCACTCTGCAAAGAAACTGTTCAAAACGATCAGAATTTCCACTAGTTGTAACAAGTTTCAGTAAACGTTTGCGTTACTACGTACTATTAATAGTACTACGTAATACTAGCGTTACAGTACTACGTGCACCATACTAGTAGTACGTACTACTAGTATGGTGCACGTCAACCAGGATGGCACCAACAACCGCATGGCGCCCTTGGTCACCCTCAAACCACCGCGTCCATCTTCCTCCTCTTTTGCATGAGCAATGTGCTCAACTACGTGGACAGAGGTATCATTCCTGGAGAACTGACACAGTTCCAGTACTAATGACACCCTCCATACAGTACGTCCATGACGGACAAAGGCCATCCCACAATAATGTTGCGAGTGTTTGGGGAGGGGGGACATGACATTTTATAATAATTGGAAGTGAAATTTAAATTGGAGCGTACTATTTTAATAGTACGCTCCAATAGGATATTGGGACCCCGTTTGAGATGCTATTAAAATAGCATCTCAAACGGGGTCCCAATATCCTCAATCCCTATCCCCAAAACCTGTTACAATACTGTACTATCATACCATCGAAGGTACGGATAATTTGGGGATGTATCCGGGTGTTTTTGTCCCCATTTCGCACTGAAGATTTTGGGGACATTCCGCTAATTTGGGGACAAAACCGCCGGGATAAGAGCATCTCCACCGCATCCCCAAATACAGTAGTCCCCCGCAATAGGGAACCTTTGTTGGCGATATGTTTTTAGGGGTAGGCTTGCAAGTACCGGCATTACCGACCTTGGGAAACTCAATAGCAAGGCGATGGTCACCATCGACATGCCATCCAGTCGTAATCTCTGAAAAGTTAACTACCACTAGAGAGAGACAAACACCGTTCATAACTCTGTTCCAGAGTGAACTTGGCAGCCTCTCGATGTCATACTATGCACTTCCGGCTTGAGGTCAACTGGGAAGGGGACAGCTACCAAAACGGAAGATATTTTGCAGACATCCCAAAAACAGTGAACTGGCTCTATTTTAGGGATGGGGACAAAAATATATGGGGATGCGGTGGAGATGCCCTAAGTCCCTAGAGCATCTTCACCGCATCCCCAAATATTTTCCCCATAAACCAGAACTTCGATTGTACCGTTACTTCTGCTTGCAGTACGGATATTTTGGGGATTATCCGGGTGATTCTGTCCCTATTGCCTCGGATATCCCAATAATTTGCACTTTTTGGGATGTCCGAGGCAAATGGGGACAAAATCACCCGGATAAGTCCCCAAATTTTGCGTAGTATCCGTAACTACGAGGTACTACGTAGTACAACTGTAGTAATGATTTTAGCGATGGCGATTAATTGAGTTTGGATTATCATTTTTAAGACATTCCTCCGCAGGCCGACACTAGAACCACATGTTATGGAACCGCTTCGCCAATTGTAACGCGCCTGCTCGACCAGGGGCGGTGTGTAATATTCGGTTTTTACTTCGCTTAACTCTTTGTGGACCAATGTGAGGACTCGTCTTCACTCGACTGTTCCGGATGTAATTTCAATAGTATAACCAAGTATAATTTATGTAGTCCTCACTCATTTAAACATGCAAGTCCTCACTCAACGACTTTGTCAGTATCTCATTGGATGAAATATAATGACCCGAACAAGCAAAACATATCATGACATCCTTGATTGTCTCGTCGTGTAAGTTGATTTGGTTGGTGGCAGCGTTGTTGAAGTTAGCTACAAAATGATGGATAAAACGAATACAACTTTGTTGAGTAGATCTATGATTTTGTTACACTACTATTGCCCTTGGGTGGTCGTCCGGTTCGAGTATATCAGTCGTTGCACTCATATTGTCAAGGATGAGTGTACCATCACTTTCTCCGTCACTTCCTTGAATTCCTGCACCATATGCGAGGATCTCGCTTTGACGGTAGACATCATCGCAACTGTCGCGTCCCTGGGTTTTGGCACACTCGTCTCCGCCATCGTTTCCTTCGTCGTCTTCACCGCCGTCTTCATGGAGATCCTTACTTTCGTCCTCATCTCGCTGCGAGGTTTCGAATGATCTCGTCGATGGCTTGAATGTACGAATGAAACGGCAACGAAATGCCGGTGGGAGGCGGAGGCCACATTGCCACTGGCTGTGCCACACCTCAAAGCACGACATGTGCTGGCCGTTCCATTGAGTACGCTCTTGGGGACATAAGAACAATTGTCCTATCACAAGTGAGATATTACACGTCAACACGACAATTACCTCCGTTGGCATCCTCAGTACATTGCGCACAGATGAAGACGGTGGACCGTCCGCGCGTTTGCTCAGCAGTTCGGCTGATTTGACATACTTTACATCCATAACGCTGGCGCGCACGCGATCTACCAGCCTTGGTTGGCTTCCACTTGGTTATTTCTTGAAGGACGTGTCGCTTCTCGTTGAAGGTCGTTGACTGGGTTGCACTCCTCACTGAATTCGGACCAGTTGATTTCTTTTTTTCTTGAATGAAGTCGGCCGCGGTGGCTTGCAGGAGAAGTTCATGAAGCGCCAGCATGAATTCGCGATGGGTCATAATCGGCATGTTGAGCCGAGCTGCAGTGTCTTTGTGAACAATGTACGCG